AAAACAACTATAAAATAACATTCAAAAATCAAATTTGAAAAAAATCAAATATAAAAAAAAATCTTTTTTATTTACTGCATGTTTTTCAAATTTCCATTTACAAAATGTGTTCTTTGATTGCAACAGTAATGGAAATAAACTCTGGAACAATATTCGGTACATAAATTATTTTCTCGTCAATAAATGAACACAAAAATTAGACCTCCATAAATGAATATTTATTAGTGAAACCTGGATATTTAAGTGGATTTTTTTTAAGTGTATGTTGATCTTAGTGAGATTCTAACCCAGCAGACGACTCGTCCGTTCACACAGGGCAGCCGAGCTTCTTCATCACTGATCTCCTCTTTGACCACCCTGGAACACACCATCATCATCACTATCATCTTCAGTGTCATTATCATCCTCATCATCACTGTTATCGCCTCTTTTATCATCATCATCAGCATAATCTTTAAAGGTATTGTGGAGGATGTTCCTTTTCTGGGTGGATCATCAAAATAAATGGTCCTCATTGGCCGTCCTATTTTTACTTACTGGTGAGTCTCACATATTGGAAAAATTGCAAATCTTCTTTTAGAAAGTAAGCTTTTATGATAGATGCAAACAGAAACTTTTAAACAAAGCGTGCACGAGGAGAAATTGGCTCGTGCACGCCCTCGCACGGGTTTAAAAGGCGTTCCCTCTCAGGAGCGGGTACAGCGTTGTCCAAGTGGAGAGGGCGCGTCTTTTCAAACAATTGTGTAGATCCTCCATGTGATGGCCGCATGTGCAACCACACAACAAATGGTCTGGTAATTCTTTCAATTAAATCAATCTTATATTTTACTGTACTGTAATTCATTTTTTTTACTTTGATTTGGCATTGGTTAACTATCTGGGTGCAAACATTTAGTAGTAATATATTAATCTGTAGATGATATATTTTTCATTTGAGTTGCCAGTTCCTGGGAGGCTGTCATGAGTGAGGCCAGTAAAGGAAAGGAGGCCTCAGCTGCAAAGGATCTCCTCATTGACATGGACGCCTAGTTGGACTCTTCCACTTAGTTTTAGAATGGGTGTAGGAAGGTTTTAGGTTTCTATATTTGGTTTTGTTTTCTATAATGAATTTGGGAAGTGTAATTATTTAAGTCTTATTCTTCATAGGTTGCTGACTTAGTATGGTGCTGATTAGTTTGGTCTTTTGTAGGAGTTTTGTTTAGGAAAATATATTTTATCTTTCCCTCTTGTGTCAAAATGGTCTAATCATTTAGTGTATAAATAAGTTTCCCTTGTGTGTCAGTAAGGTAGGTCTTTTCCTGTGTCAGGTTTTGGATTATGTTGATTTTTGTCATTTGTTTTCCTTGATGGGCCCAGTCTTGTTAGAAGTTTGAACTTTTTTTTTTGCTAAATAAATTTGTTACCATTTTTACCTTAATGATTTCCCTATGCTTCTCTGTTTTGGCTCGGTCCGTCACACTCCACAATACCTTTAAGGTAATCCTAAATATTTAAATCATCACTTTTATCTTTTTATTTTCACCGTCATCATCATTAGTGCAACCATCATCATTACTGTCAGGATCCTCAATTTCCTCATCTTCATTTTTGACCACAAAACAGTCTTACATCAGAGGCAGCTGGATTTGGTTAAGTGTTTGTCCATTTGAGTCATGATGAGCGTAACTCTGCTTCCACGGAAATTGCACAAACACATTAATTATGATTAAAATGGCCAAAAACAAAACCCACACACAAACAAAAAGACCCAGGAGAACAATGAGAGGATCTTTGAATTCTGGCCCTGGAGCAACCTGTACTTGGACTGCTGATGCTTTAAAGGAAAAGTCTGCTCATATTCAGAATTCAAACTTCCAAAAGTGCTTTAAATATAAAATCATCACATACTGTTCAATAAATGAGTGTTTTTATTTAAGAGTAATTTTCATTTAATTGTGCTTTACTGGAGTTTGTTTGTCAAAGAACACTACTGCCACCTACTGGTTTGTGACGTCACGGTGCGGTATCGGCTGTTGATCAAGTCCCAGCGCTGTATTTGGTGTTTCTCACAACACGCTATTATCCAAGTCAACTTGAAAACATTCTTCTTCCAAATGTTGGCTACATATTACGTGTTTTTTCTCTGACCAGAAGTTCGATGGCAAATCCTCTCTCTTTAAGTCGGCAACGACGAACCCGTCCGGGGAAGATCATAAATCGGAAAAGTGAAAGGACTGTTTTTGTCAGTTTCACTATAGCTCTGGTGAATTTCAATGGTGAAGTCCTCTGGAAATCTTCAATAATTGTTGTTGATTGCAGATGTGTCTAGTAGTTCCCATTGATTTTGCTTGTAAAGCGGGGAGAATGGCGCTAGGCTTACCGCACCGTGACGTCACTGCTGGAAGATGTTAGGAGGGAGGTGTTACTATATTTGGGTCAAAATGGCCGCTCCAAGACTCAGTGATCGCAATGACAATGATTGTTTTTATTTTTCCACTGATTAACACTAAATTCATTAAATTCCAACAAACGTATAAGTTTTAGGTATACATAATGATCCATCGATTATTCCTTGCTGACCAGACTTTTCCTTTAAGCAACATGGAGGTCCGTCCGCCTAAGGCCCTTCCAAGTCAGATGCAAGTCAATGACCCATCCAATATTTTCCCGACTTTTTGAAGTCTTTTCTTGTCTTTAGGTTATGTGTTTGGCCATATGAATCATGTTACCGGTACATATGCTTGTACTTCCTAAGAAATTACGAAAGCACCCTCATCATGATTCAGTTGGCCAAACACATAACCCATACACAACAAAAGACCCAAGAGGACTCAGAAGAATAAGACCCCCTATTTCATCATTCTGCTTAATTTTATCTCTATTCTCCCACTCTGCAGAATCTGTTAGTTCAATCTCTAACGTTCCGATCTCTCTGCTTTTTCTCATAGTAGCTTCACCTCGTCTGTTCCTATTTGGCTGTGACTCCATCCTGGAGAGAAATATCAGCAGTGCTGCTGCCATCAACACCTTTGTTTATAGATGTTGGAGATTGGCCTGTTTTTCAGTGTAGTCCTGTTTCTCTGACTGTGACAGGCTGGATGTGCTCTCTTCATCCTCTGACATGGGAGTTGGCTCGGAGCTCGTCTGCCTGGCTGTGTGTTTCCTGGATGGGGCCGCCTTTTACAGTTGCTTTTTGTATCTCTGCTTCTGTCTCCTTGAACCCCAGTCAACCTCAGCAGATGGCCGCTCACACTGAGCCTGGTTCTGCTGGAGGTTTCTTCCTGTTAAAAGGGAGTTTTTCCTCTCCACTGTCGCTAAAAGCATACTTAGTGTGAGTGATTGCAGATGCAATCAACTGGTTTTCCTTAGATAGAAAACTTTGAATCAATCTGACTGTATGATCTGGTAAACTGTAAAGTGCCTTGAGCTGATATGTGTTGTGAATTGGCGCTATAGAAATAAACTGAATTGAATTGAACAAGCAGGTATTTGATATAAATCTAACTGGAGGATCGACCTCCATTGTGCTTTAAAACATCAGCACTCTGGTTACTGCTGATTACTTTAGAGTGAGCTGACAGAACCAACAAAGGGTCCTGGTCAGGTGCCGAATCGTCTTTAGAATAACTGAACAAAAGTCCGTCTGCCTCCGACTGAAGCCTGTTTTGTGGATGACAAAATTTAAACAGGGATCATCATTATTAATATAATCATATCACTGTCATCTTCATCATTGTTAAAATCATAGTTGCCATGATCAATATTAACAATACTGCTATTTTTATTTCATCATCATTCATTTCATTGTCATCACTGGAGCCAACTTCTTTGCCATCATCAACAGTGATGTCATCAAGCAGTTCATCAGAGAGAATATTAAAGAGATTCTGATTTCAGTTACATAATCTCAGCTCAGCCTGTGGAGGATTATTATATAAACAATCATCTCATAAACAAGTAAACAAAGCAGAGCATGGAGTTCAGCCTTCTCATTGTTTTGATCAGTTTGGTTGAATTTCTCCTTCAGCTGTTTAAAGCTGGTCACTGGTTAACATCAAGCATTATAATTACTGTTTATTAATATTATTATGTGACTAAAGCTCCGCCTTCTCCTGTAACACGTGACATTTGAGAATCAATAATCTAATCCCGACGTGTTTTATCTCTATGGTCTGTGGATCCGTCACGTGACTCACCCGAAGTCATCATCCACGGACTTGAAGAAAAATTTGGCGTGGGGTCTGTTCAGCACCTGCTTGAAGTCCGCGAGTGTGACGCGCTGCGCGGGCACGTTGATCCGGATCAGGTAGGGGGTCTCCTGGTCCTCCAGGTGGTAGATGACCCGGGTCTCCTCCGCCATGCTGGCCCCGGGAAGCCCCGCACGCTCTCCGACAGCAGGGATGCTGAGACACACCTGCGCGCCTCCGTTCCCCCCGCGCGCCTTTGTCCAGGTTCTCTCTGCCCACGTGACCACCTTACTGGTCCGCCCCCCTCCCCCACCGGAGCCACAGCTGCTCCCAGGCCGGTTCTGGTCCAGATGTGTCGGTCCAGCAGCAGTGGGGCTTGGATGATGCTCTCCTCCACACACCATCAACACCTACGTAATTAAAAACGCAACTTCCGGCACAGCGCTTCAAAATAAAAGCCTCTCCAGTTAGTAGCTCAAATAAAATCGTTTTGTGGAAGTTTTATTAAATCTAGGATGGTTTTTAAAAATTGAAACACCTTTATCAAATATAACTTTTTTTGTAGATAATGTTTAATGTTTCATCCCCTTACTAAATAAAAGAAACTGAGGAGGCTGAGATGCCGTTTAATATAAATGAGTTATAAAAACATTAAAAAAAACAGGCTTCTGTTGGACTTCCCAAAAGGTTAAACTCAACAGTTCTTTAGGATCATATTATTTTTAATTAAGGTACCAAAGCAAAGAAGTCATTTCAAGATTTTACACGAAGCAACAAGTTCTGATTCAGATCATTTTAGGAGTAATAAGTAGAGCAAGTTATTTGGTTTAACAAAGAAAGTTTTGATTAAATTCAAAAGCAGTTCCAGTAAATCTGGTTCTGGATAATAACTATAAAAAAAATGAATCACCCAAATGCATTAAATGCCATCCTGACTAAACATGTTGCAGCAAGGGATACAGATCTTTTGAGGGAGAACCAGGATCAGTATGAGAGACTCTGCTGTTGGAAGTCAGGTGGCAACCAGAAACATAAAACCAGTTAAAACCTTTCAATGAACATGACCTAAACAGAGACGATATACGGCAGGAGAGTCCAGCCTCTATGCCCTGCAGGCTTTAGATGTAGCTCCTGTCCAATTAAGTTCTGCATCAACCAGATAAATGATCAAAAGCTGCAAATTCCATATGAGACGTTACTTATTTGCATTTTTTTTATTTTAAGAAAATGCTTATTTTTTGTTCAGTTACAATAAATTAGCTGATCAACCAAAAATAAAATGTAATAAAACCTAAAGATGTAAAACACTAAAAGCTCTTATTGTGAAAGCAGAGCCCAGAGTTTCCTTTTAGCTACATAATAAAACCTTCATTTTCATTCAAACCATCACAGCATCCCTTCAAGATGTTGTTGCCTTTCCGGTCTGACTTTAAAACAAAAGCTTAAAGGAGTCAAAATAAAGAAAAATGTTTTCAGAAAGTTTGATTTTTTTTGTTTTCAGAATCAAAAAAACAACTTCATGTTTTTATTTTTGATTGTTAGAGAAAAAAACAGAATAAATAAAATAATTAAATTGTCAGCAAAGTAAAGCAGATTTATAATCTTTTCAGATTATCGGTCATTGCCTGAAATGATTCCATTGACGCGGCCCTCAGCCATGTGGATTAGAAACATTGGTGCAATCAGGGATCACAGGTTTAACTTCTGTCTGCAGCCTCTGCAGATTCCTGAGGATCTGATTGGATCAGTCAGAGATCCTGACTTTCCATGCTTCGGATGGAGAGTTTAAAACAGTCGGAGTGTTTCACAGTGAGGTGATGAAGGCCACCCGGGTGTTAAATGTTGCTGGTGTTCACATGCAGAGCTGGGTTTCGGTTCCGAATCTGGATTAGACCCAGGTCCAGGTTGAGATTCTACTGAGGCCACAACGAAAAAAGCAAAGTCTTACTGAATTTACCCCATCCCCAGCTGAGCGGTCGATGTTCCTGTTCCCACAAATCTGAGAACCTGCAGATCATTTCATTCTAGAACCTTCTGCTTTTTGGACCAATTGTGATGAAAGAGAACGGAGAACATAAAACGATCTGATTTTAAACCCTAACGGACCTCTAGGGGCCCTGATGGTCGTCATGCAGACACATTAACGTCTCTCAGCGCCATGGCGGCGGTTGTCCCAGCAGCAGAGGCGGTCGCCGTGGTAGCAGGAGTTTGAAGAGGTGAACCAGAGGGGGAGGAGCTAGCTACGATGGACTGGACCGCACCATTCTGACTAGTAGGAGCTGAGCTGTTGGGGAACAGGATCAGCTGCAGTGTCCGCCTCAGGTTGGGATGCAAGCGCCGCTGCGTCTGGTAGAAGATCTCCACGGCAACGCACTTCATCACCCCAGCCACCAGGTCCTCATACAGTGGGACAGTGTACATCCTGGAGGTCTGCAGGAAAGAAGAGGCAGAAGATAAGGGGATGTTAGGATGGCGCCACCTGCTGGTGGATCAGATTTATCTCAGCAGGTGCTTAGATGCTTCAAACATCTGAATATAGAGATCAGGCATGTGTAACTAGCTACTTTCCTGCAGCACTGACTCAGCAGTGAACATCATAAGCTGCGTCAGGAAAGTCAAATGACTCAACATTACATCAAAGAGATAAAAAAAATATTTGTTCTCTGTTCTGCAGACATAAATGTACATATTCTGGACAATCTGACAGACAGACGCTGCAGACTCTGAGTCTATTCCTGCAGTTCTTTCCACCCAACCATTACGGTGTGCAATGTTGGAAAGGACACTTTGCAATGCAGTATTTGTTGGTTTGTTATCTCCAAGCATCCAAAATTGAAACTTTGCATGATAATACATCTCTGATAGGAGCAGCTTTATTTAAAGGCATACTATGCAACATTTTTCAGTTAATTAATGTGTTCCATAACGTTTTGGATGATTAAATGAGTCATTTCAGGTCAAACAAAGGTTTTCTCGGCCGCCCTGGTGGTCTGTAGGGGAAATACCGTACTTGCAATTGCAGGAGCCCTCGGCCCGCACCCACAGGCTCCGAAGTCTCGTGCATCGCGAGAGTCGGTCTTGCTTTACGGCGAGAACTGCTACACGCCCCCAGTGAAAGGCATGCTCGTTGCTAGCACAGTGCCGATATTTGTGCAGTTATCATGGCGGAACCAGCGAGAAAACAGCGAAAGCCCATGTCGGAGCAGGCAAGAAAGAGGAAAAGGGCTCTCTAAAGCAGTAGACATGGTGATTCGTTGCGTTCGCTTCTCTGCAAAGCTCAAAACGGCCGCGCCTGGCTTGACGGAGAAACCAGGAGAACAGCTGAGCATATTTACGACAGTGCACTTTTACTTTCGCCCTCTGGGGGGAGCCTCGCTGGAAAATCAACACCGGTTGCATAGTATACCTTTAAAACACATGGATGTGAGCTACACTCCACACCAATTCCTAACGTTTTATACACGTAGACTCAATGTAGAGTCTAATGGCTGGGAGAGGAGTGACAGGACGTGTGTTTCTAATTCCCTTTGGGAAGAAATATTGTGGGTAGTGAGTAGAGAGGAAACAGGAAGCATTTCTTGTGGAAATGAAGAAGGAAATAGTGAAAAGGAAGAAGATTGCAATAAAGTAGAATAAAAAACAAGGAAAAGCAAAAAAAGTAGAGACCAATTGAAGGGGAATCCAGCACAGAACAATCTAGTGATGAACAATCTAAAAATGTATTTATTATGTTGGAGTAAATTAAACAATTCGGAAAAATATTTATTATATTTTTCTGGGGGTGAGTCTTGTTTCCTGTTTCTATGTTTGACTCCTCATCAGTTGGTGGCAGAAATGCACTCCAACTAGTTTGCCAACCGCCATAAAACCTTACAAGAAGAAGAAGACTCAACGTGATGGAGCCCCCAATAGGTCACAGTAATGAGTCCATGCTTCTTCTCTGAGCCCTCTTGCTTCTTATGCGCTTGTAGATTCTCTGCTACTCTTTTACAGACCTGTTTCTGTGGACTCGTGGCAACTTTTGTCACTTTAAGGGCACAACCAGCCAGAGAAAGGAAACACCCTCTGTAATTGGCTACTTTTCAGGAAATCCCAACTCTTGAGACAGTACTGCTTTCTTTGTGGTTTTGGCTAGTAACGTTAACAAAGTATCTTCAGGCTAATGTCCGCTTAAAAAAGTAAAAACTGGTTTCCTGCAGTTATCAATCAATAACTCAGTTTAACACAGTCATTAACGTGTTCTGATAAGCAGCAATATGCTTTAAAGTTATTAACCTTGAATTTGGAACTTTGTATGAGCTAAGCTAACTTTTGCTTCCCCGATCCCTCGTTTATAACTGAACACAGATATTTACATTTCTATTCATTCCAAATAAGTTTAAAAAAAAAACAATCCACTGGCCTTTTTTACCAAGTTTGAAGACATTCCGCTTCCCATCCAGGAAGCTTTTTCAATTCAAAATGTCAGAAATGGTTCGAGGCTTTATAGAGTAGCCCGGTCAAAGCCTTGTTTTGGTTTAGAAAGCATGCACATTGGGCGTGCTTTGGTTGAGCAGTGCTTAGCGCACTCGACCAACGTACGGAGGACTTAGTCATCGACGTGGCCGACCCAGGTTTGAATACTCCTCCTGTCAGCCTACTGTCAAAAAAAAAACAAGCCAGTAGTGCCGTAAAAAAAAAAAAAAAAAAAAAGAAAACATGCAAATTGAAACGGACAAATGGTTCTGCCACTTTGGAATGGAGGTCGTTTGGCCTCTTTGTTAAGCTGCACACTATGTCTCTGAAAGGGGGGACGTTAGAAGGTTCCTATAATCTGCAAGTTTCCTAAGCAATTTCTCGTTCTCACACATTATTCCGAGGGTGTCTTTCCCAAAAATAGCGTCCATGGGTAGGGATGGGACACGAAACTGTGTGTTCCAGTTCCATGGCACCGTTTGGCAGCTTGCTTAACGATTCTCTTATCGATTCCAGGCAGCACCAGAGCCTAGCGCTGGGCAGCAGGACTTACGTCATGTTTTCTACGCAAGTCATGCACACTGCATTCCGTAAGCAAGTACGACGTGACCAGGCGTAAGTCTAGAAAAGCAACAAAAAAAAAATGGCTCCCCATCGGGTAAAGCGATCAAAACAAACTGGCAATAATATGCAGAAACATGCAGCTTTTTGTATCTCTACTTCTGTCTCCTCGAACCCCAGTCGGCCTCAGCAGATGGCCGCTCACACTGAGCCTGGTTCTGCTGGAGGTTTCTTCCTGTTAAAAGGTAGTTGTTCCTCTCCACTATCGCTACAAGCATGCTTAGTGTGAGAGATTGTATTTGAGTCAATCCAATCAACCGGTTTTCCTTAGATAGAAAACTTTGAAACAATTTGACTGTATGATCTGGTTGAACTATAAGTGCCTTGAGATGACATGTGTTGTGAATTGGCGCTATATAACTAAACTGAATTGAATAGAATTGAATAGAAACACCTGCACACACAACATGGCATACATTTTAATGCATGCCGTGTTTTGATTCCTTCCGGACAGAAGCTACAGTAACGAGCAGCATGGAAGTGGATTGCTGAGGCAGTGGATTGTTTTTAACTTTTTTGGAATGACTATGACCTGGATGATTGAGAATCTATTTCTGTTTAGCTTAAGAGTGATGGATGGTGAATATGAAGTCAATTCAATTCTTAAAGAGAACAGCTACTGTATTAATCTGAGGACGCTTTGCTAACATTGCTAATGATAAAACAGAGGCCTGAGAGCACAGAAACACGTCCACAAGTGAGTAAGGGAGAATCTACAGGCGCATAAAAAGCAAGAGAAAATTGCAGAAAAGAAGCATGAGCTCGAATGTATCCTGTCTGCAGTTTGTTGTTATGCCAGAGACACCTTATGGAGTTCCACCTGCTAAAGGTCCCACCTGGAAACAGTAATTCCCAGTCATCAACCAGGGGTAGTTCCTTATCTGCTGCAGTCCTGCTCTAAACTGGAAAATGGATTTACGTGGAGAACAGACTGCTGTTCTGTGGGATTATTTCTAGTGAACTAGGTTATTCTTACGTGTTTGTGCAGGAAGGCTCGGACCCGGGGTAGGTCTGGGTAGAATGTGTTCCTCACCACCATTTGCAGCCACCGGATCTGAACCTCGGCATTCAGGCCATCAAACAGGGAGGAGTAGCAGCCAGAGAGCCTCGCCATCACCTCTGAAAAACAGTCGCTGATGAGTAAGCGGCTCAAACAGGTGGCAATGTTGTTATAAGGCATACCGTTTGGGATGCGAGGTTATAAGCCATACCGTTTGGCAGCGGCGAGTGGTCCAACATCCTGTCAAGGAAGAGAACCACCTGGAAGGTGCTCCAGGCAGACAGGTCAAAGGTGGCGAGCGCCTGCTGATCGGGCGGCTCTGTGCTCCTCCACAAGTCACACAATTCCTGGACCGGTCCGATAAGAGCGCCCCCCGCTGACAGGTCTGGCTCAAAGGGTGGCGGTCCGCAGCCGCTGAGCCAACGCTCGAACTCCAGACCTGAAGACAGGAAGTGATGTCACCAAGCAGGAAGAGTCAGACATCAATGTGTATCCAGCTGGACATACCTTCCCTCTGAGAAACGGCGGCGTCCTCCAGCTCTGGGAAGTACCGCAGGAAGTAGGCAATGAGGTCCTGAGCAACCACGCTCTGAAACTTAAACTCTGAGATGTAGTCCTGCAAACACGCACATGATCATCCATCTGTCCTCAGCAGGACACCGTACTGACATGCATTCGTCAACCCAAACCCAAAGAACAGCCCAGGTCCCAAACAGGCAACATTTATATTACCTTATATTTGTTTCAGAAGAAATAACAGACAATTCTTGTTTTTTCTAAATCTGGTGAACAAGTGTAGTATATAAGTAACTAGGACGGGGCAACTAGCCGATGAAATCAATTACATCTTCTGTTTATAAAGATTTATTCTGAGGCTTAGGGACCAATGGTTTTGAAGCTAACTAAGACTAGAGTGCCTTTCAAGAAGACTGAAATTCTGAAAGTCACAAAGGATCCCCTGAAAAGCCATTTTTCAAACTAAAATGAAGAACTAATAAAAAAGAGCCGGTGTTCTGTCAGATGAGCATCCCCACAGTCAATACCAGTTTTTCCCTATCATTTTGTACGAAAGATAAACTTTCAACTACATCAATCCCTTTAGTCATGTACAAAAACACAATTTAATTACTTACTTTTCTGTGTTTTTTTAAGCATGTGGCATTGTAACCTGAGTTAGTTTTTTTGTGCATGACTAAAGGGAAACACGACCGTTCAGGTAGTTTAAAGTCTATTTTTTGTACAAAATTAAAGGGATAAATAAAAATATTACATCTTGCCCATGTGTACTGGCTATGGGTATGCTGGTCTGACAGGACACTGTCTGAGGACAGAGCCGCATCCTGTTGGCTTCAGGTCTGAATTCAAAGAATAGAGGATTTGATTCTCCATAATATCCCCCACAGCCAAAAAACAGAAATTAAATGCAGCCCTCGCTAATATACGAGATGATTTTTTTATTATTGTTGTAAACAAAGAAAACATTTTGTAAAAAGAAATACTAAAATGTCATAATCAGGAAAAAAATTCAAGACAAAATTTCCTATTTTTCCCATGCTTAATCTTTTCATATTTTTTTTTTCAACGGATCGCTTTCTTTTGCAATTGCGTTTTAAAGATCAAATTCTCTTTACTCCACGCCTAATAAAACTCTATGCAGACCAATAGAAATCCCTAATTATTCTCTGATTATTCCAGAGGAAAGCCCGCCCCCAGATGAAGAGAATATGATCTTCAAAATGCAATTTGAAAATAGGGAAACTGTAAAACACAATCTTAAAAAGTTGAAATTTGAAAAATAAAATCTGAATAAACAAAGTTATTCTCAAAAAATATTTTTGATTAAAAAGTTTTTCAAATGTTCATATCTTGATTGCATTCGAGTGCACAAAACATATTCTCTGCTTGCAGCAGAAATGGAACAAAATTCTCTGCATATAAAACCTCTGTGCTGTGAAGCAGTGAAATCGGAGCCATTTCTTTCTGCAACATAGAACCAACATGAGCAGGATCCCCAATAAGGTTGAGATCAGTGCTTTCTCTGCACAAACCTTGAGGAAGCTGTCAAAGCGCCTGACGTCCCCGCTGAGCTCCGACAGGTAAGACACGAAGCAGAACCCTTTCTCGTAGGTGAACAGGTTCATCAGCGTGCTGGGGTTCACACCTGCAGGGAGGAGGCGCCTGTTCAGCTGCAGATCACACGTGTTTGTGGAAGGGGTGGGCGTGTATGGGTGCATTTACCTGGCTCAAACTTGACCTGCAGCTTGCTCACAGGGTTGTTGTCTCCAAGGAGACGCAGCTGTCTGTGCAGAGCGTCCAGTCGGACCACAGTTTCCAGGCAGGTGAAGGCCTCACCTGAACGCAGAGACCGTGTCTCAGACAGCCCAGAGTCAAACCATCATTCTGACATCATCATCCTCACCATAAGCCACGGTGGTGATCCTCCGCTGCGCGTACGTCGCCAGGCCTTCGCTCAGCCACATCTCCTCCCAGGTGGCGTTGGTGACGGCGTTTCCGAACCAGCCGTGTGCGATCTCATGGATGACGTCAATCAGCAGGAACTCGCTGCTCTCCAGGATAGACGCAATGATGAAGGTGAGGCAGGGGTTCTCCATGGCAACGATGGGAAAGGAGGGGGGTAGGAATACGATGTCACACCTGAGGAAGAGTCGCATCAGTGGCGTCTCACACGTTAATGTCCAGGTTCAGTTTCAGACTCACCTGCCCCAAAGATAAGGTCCAAACAGGTCCTCTGCCACGCCCAGCCAGCGCTCCACACTGCCCCCTAACTTTTTCACCGCACAAGACAATAAACATGGCTCCGCCCATACACGGCTCCTGCAATCCATCCCACAAAGAGAAACAAGGTTTTCATGTGTCGCATACAAAGAAATCTAAAAAAGTTAGAATATTGTAAAAATAATAAGACATTTAAACTCATTTTTTCACAACTTGATCAGTTAATGAACCCTAAAAAGCTGCAAAGATTCACTGAGCCTCTAAAGGGTCTCAGTCTGGGTGAGTAGGAAACAAAACAGTCAGCCTAAACAGGGAGGGGGGACACAGATAGCTGTATTAGAGCATTTTTACAGAAAGTTGAGTGGAAGGAAAAAGTGTGGCAAGAAAAGGATTGTCCAGCAAAATCCATTAAGAGCTTTACAAGAATTAATGCTGGAGTCAGAGCATCAAGGTCCACTACATACAAACGTATCCAACACGTGTCAAACCACTCCTGAACTGGACACTGGAATGTTGCTCGATGATCCAAAGACGTCTTCTCACAAAATTCAAATTAATTTATTTCTATAGCGCCAATTCACACACATGTCATCTCAAGGTACTTTACAGTTCAGCAGATCATGCAGTCAAATTGATTCAAAGTTTTTTTTTAAAAGGAAAACCGGTTGATTGGATCGACTTATTGACTTGAATGCAATCCCTCACACATACCATGCTTGTAGTGACAGTGGAGAGGAAAAACTTCCTTTTGCCAGGAAGAAACCTCCAGCAGAACCAGGAAAACAAAAAAGTCAATTCTGCACTTTATTTTGGAAATCAGGGACCCAGAATCTGGAGAAAGGGAGGACATATTTCATGCTTCCTTCTGATCAGGAGCCGAATGGAGATCCTGGTTTTATTTTCCAAGATGACCTGGTTCTGAACCTCACTACCAAATACTAAATGTACCAAAAGATGGTCCAATCACCATGGTGTTACTGTGCTTGACCAGAAGCCCACAGAGGATCTATTGTCCTGAGGAAGATGAGAGACACCAGAACCAATGATGAAGATGACCTGAAGGATGCTATCAGAGCAGCCTGAGCTTTAATTGGACCTTTGGACCAAAATTAGGCTGGATGACTCCATGTCACAAGCTGATGACTTCATTGATGCAAAAGGAGTCCAGAACCAGTACTCTAAGTTAAAAAATGAACACACTTTTCCAAGTCCTTAAATTATAGTGTAAGATTTTCATTTTTATTGATCTACTTTATTTTGCTGATGTCCTTCCAAATTAAATACATATATAAAATAAACGATAAACTAAAAGAACCAAACAAATTTCCTAAAATGTTTTTTTCTCATTATTCTCTAATCAGACACTGGATTGTTGAGTTTCTCTGAGCGACCCATCAGCCTGTAACTGTTCTCAGGTGTATCCAGGTGACCCACTGACCTCGGGCCGATGTCCACGTGCTGCAGCTCTCCGGCCACCAGCGCCACCAGGTAGGATGGCACTGGGAATTCCATGGAAAACTGGAAGATTCGATCCAGTTTGGAGTAAGAACTCCGGGAGGCACTCATCAGAACCGTCAAACCGTCTGGAACCTGAGCAGGAAGACGATAGGGATCAAAAAGGTCAAGAAAAAAAATAAAACACTCATTTTTTCTCTAATTATAAAATATACTTTTTGTTCAACTTTTCTTTTTCCATTTAACAGATATTTATTTTTATCATTTATGTTATTCAGTAGAATAATAATCAGAGAGTCGTCTTCTATTCTTTTCAGTTTTCATGTCCAAATATTCTCTCTGCAGTTCCAGAACAAAGTTCTGGCAGAACTGCTGGATTTTAGTTGGATTCTTTCCCAAACTTCTGCCTTCAACCACCTCAGCAGAAAACGCGACCACAGGCTTCCTTCAGCCTTCTGGGTCCCATCAGAGTCTGGTCCGAACCAGCCGGTACCTACCCGGATGGTGGCCGTGTAGGTGCTCTTCACAGCAGGGGTGTCGAAGCAAGGGAAGAAGGAGCGGTTACAAACCGAGTGTCCCTGAGTGAAGACCAGAGGACGAGACTGACCACAGGTCAGCTCAGAGTCCAGCCACCAGATCTGAGGACAGAAAGACAACAACGTCAGACAGAGAACAAAATGTCCAACGGCATCATCTGCACAAACAAAGGTCCAAATGTCCAGGAAGGCAAAAACCTGAGGTTCCCGACTGAGTAAACCCGTCGGGAACAATGATTAGAGACCAATTCAAAACAAGAGCTAAAGAAAACCCAAGCATATCCCCAAAAGTTTGAAAATAGCTCTGAACCAAGTCTAAACTCAAAATGAAACAGCCTGAAACTATGTCAAAACCACTTAAACCAGATATAAAAACCAATTTGAAACCAGTGTGAAACCACAATGAAAACATACTATAACCAATCTGAATTCATACGTTCTAAAAACAAGCATAACATCAAATCTGAAACTGATCAGAATCAGAACTCTGAAACTAAATTAGAACTGGTCTGAACATAAATATATAACCACATTAAAGCCAGGATAAAAACAAACTCTGAAACCATTTTAAACTGGTCTAAAGCATAATCTGAAACTATATGAAACCAGTCTGAAACAAAATCTGAAACCACATTAAACTAGTCTAAAACTAAGTCTAAAACCACATTAAAACGTGTTTTTTAACTAGAAACTGAAATCATATTTAACTGGTCTGAACCAAAATTCCTAAACCATCTTAAACTACTCTGAAACTTAGTCTTAAACCACATTAAAATGGTTTTTGAACTGAAAACATATTAGACTGGTCTGAACATAAAACCTGGAACCATATTAAACTAGTCTGAAACT